TGAATGGCATTCAGGGTCAGTGCTGAATATGCCTAAGAAAACAATGTTCTTTTTGTCCTTCCTGCCCCCTGCATTTTTGCCTCTTGGTTTAAATGCCTTCCAAGACCACAAGAGCTTTTCTGCCAGTCATGATGAACAACAACTATGGACACATTGTCACAGTGGCTTCAGCAGCTGGTCATTTTGTGACTCCTTTCATGGTGGCATATTGGTAAGTGTTCTTGATATCAGTTTGCTTMATTTTTAAAAATTTTAATTGCATCTTCTCAGTGAGAAAGTACCAAGTTATTAGCTCTGACTCAATCGTGAGCAATGTTTGTATGAAAGGACACTCATGTCACTATTCTATTTTCTTTGCAATTCATTTGAACTTAAGGTCTATTTCCATGTCAGGTCTCTCCTACTTTTGCTTGGGTAATGCTCCTCTATTTCAAAGCACACACAATTGATTTGAGATATTCCTTTGGGGTACAATAAACAGTCGAGGATTTATCTCCATTTCTATCCTGCTCATCCTTCTTCATTTTAGACATTCAGGCTGCATTCCTTRTAAGGGTCTTCTCCTGTGGGGAAAAAAAGGAATGTGCATCAATTGACACACACTAGTTACTGTTTTCTATGATTTTCTGATGTTTTCCTCCTTTACCTGTTCACACCCTGCTTTCCACAATGGCACCACAAGTTTCAATATGTAATCCAGCACTGCACTCTGGTACAGGGAAAGTTAGAATTGATCCCTGGCCTGGGACCAATCCATCCTCTCCAATGGATTATATYATATGGAGGTTTTTGCCTCCTAGCGTGTAGTGTATGTGTATGACTTTTAAGGCCATTYGCAGTGGTGGAAATAGGATTTCTGCCTTCTCATTTGTACTTTTTCCATTTCTGCAGCTCAAGCAAGTTTGCTGCWGTTGGATTTCATAAAGCTCTGACAGATGAGCTGTCTACCCTGGGAAAGGATGGAATAAAAACCACGTGCCTTTGTCCAGTTTTTATAAATACTGGATTTGTCAAAAACCCCAGTACAAGGTAAATCTCAGTACTCTCCATTCCTGTTCTACCTTCTTTGCATCAAGGCACTGCACATGATCCCCAGCTTTGGCCTCTCTTCTAACTGGCTGTATAACAACAGTGTGTATCACTGGCTAAAGAAAATCTGCAGTATTCTTTAACCCATGTGATGGTTGCATTTGAATTACCTGAGTTTATGCAGCTCTGAAGCCTCCTACATCAGCTGCTACCCCTCCTTTTTATTACTGCAGTCCTTACGTGTTTGCTTTCCTGTGTAGGCTTGGGAAGATTTTGGAGATTGAAGAAGTTGTAGAGGCTCTGATGGAAGGAATAGTGACCAACCAGAAAATGGTTTTTGTTCCATCAAATCAGAAAGTAGCTTTACTTCTTGAAAGGTGAGTAGGAAAAAAAAACGTATCAGCTGTAACCCGCTGAGTGTACCACCTTCAAACTTTTGAAATCTGATTCAACATTAAGTTTTATTTCAGAACATATCACAAAGCAGTTAATAATTCAGTGGTTCTTTCCAGTGACAATTGCAGACATCATCCATAGATGTTTTTGAGCCGTCTCATAGTCTCTTGTATAGGACCACTTGCTGCAGCTGGCTCTTCAGTGCAGAGCTCCACTGTACTGTGGGCTACCACATTCTCTGGAACAGCAGCCCCAGCATAGTTCCAGAAAGAGCTGAGGACCTGCTGCTTTTTAATATTTGTTTTTTTTCATATCAATACCAAAGACTGAGGCCACTGAGGCGGAAAATTGCTTTTAAAGGTCTCTGTTCCAAAGAGACAGCAAATGCATGTGTCTGTGTTCAGTATGAAAACTTTCTGGATTCAGCAGCAATATTGCAGTCTAAGTCATGGCTAGTACATACTTGTCCTGGAATTGTCATAAAATGTGATGTGTGGGATTGGAGTTAAAACTAGTTAGGGWTTGATGGGAGCTACATATTCTTTGGAAATAATGCCCAGTTTAAGACTTAGTTTCAGTTCATGCATGTGCATGCATTTTGCTCCCAGACCAGCCCTTCCCTCACCTGCAGTGCCACTTTTTCCCATAATGTAAGTTTCTATCCCACATTTAACTTCATGCTATTGTGTCTTTCAGGGTGTTTCCAGAACGTGCCCTGAACACTCTGAAGAAGATGACTGATGTCAAGTTTGATGCAATCATTGGGCAGAGAAGCACCCAGTGAAATCAAGAACTGATTCTCATTTCCCAGAGGCACCAGTGAAAACAGAACATGTGCTGTTCAGTGGGTTTGATTCAGGACAGAACTCAGGCAGGTGCTTCCAGGCCACCATTCCCAAGCACACTTAAGGTCTTATCCGATACCTGGAGCAGGAACATATCCTGCATTACAGGGAGTGTTAGTAAAGCAAACGTGCAGCTCTAGAAGGGCTGCCTTGAATGTACATGTCATGACCTCTGTCTCATTGTGCTGAGGCAGGCAGGAATTTCCACAAAGGTGGGGGCCCTGYTTCGCTTAAATTTATATTTTTTAATGAAATATGCTCTAATGAAGACTGAATTTCCCATATTTTTGTAGCAAATGCCTGAAATAATACAGGTATRTATGTAATATATCTAATTACGCCGATTATCAATTATGCATTAGCATCATCAATATGTCTTTATATTAATAAATACAGTTCTTTAACACAGCGTCTCTTGGCASTGGAAGTTATAATCAGGTCCTAAAGATGCATTTAAGGCATGGTATGAAGGAATACATCTTTTCCTGTATCATTTCTCACAATGCTCCTCTGCACTTTCCAGACAKCTTTAAAACACTTTCTCATGAAAACAGTGCAGTATTTCTCTACAAATGACTGGGTGCCACAAATGCAGCCCACACAGGGACCAGGGCTGAAAGGCAGTTCCAGGGCTGAGAGGKTGCAGGGRAAGGCTCCAGAYGAGCCTTTGCACAGCTCCTCATGACAAGCCAGGAGCCTGCTCTGATGGGACAGGGGGTGAAAGCCCTRAAGGTCATTGGYCTGTGGTCCAAGAGAGCAGCAGCTGATGACACACGGGTCAAAGATCCCTCCAGAGCACAGAGGATYTGTGCACCCACTTGTGCAACTCCCACCTCTGCAGGCACTTGCTGGCCCACAGCCATCCCAGGCAAGCATGAGCACACAGCCAACTTCAGCACAGTTGGAATTCATCGTGTTCACCTGAACATTTCAAGTTGTTCTGTAAACAGGTTCTTCAGAAAAGRGAGAGCCCTCACCACCCAGCTCCTCCTGCTTTTAGCTGGCAACAGGAAAACATTTTGTTKCCATCAGCACAAATATTTGCTAGATGTGCTAAATGACTCAAAAATAGTTCCCTTTTTGCTCATGGAACATAATGTAACAGGACATTCAGGGTGTGTGAAGCTCAAGTTTCCAGCTTTGAATCTTTTGCTTCGTAGAGCAAGACTCCTGTAGCCAAGAAAAGAAAGTGTAAGCAAATTTTAGAGAATGAAAAACCCCAAAAAGTTAAAAGTCAGTTAAGGAGTGTAAATGTACCACATCTTGGTATTCAAAACCAAGACCCTCCAAACCCTAAAGCATTTGAGAGAAGCATGCTTTGAGTCCTGAAGGACAAAGGAGGACAATTTGCATGCATTTTCAGTAAGTTATTTTGAACACCCGTTTTCCCTAGCTCAGTGTCATACCCCAAATCTGATATTTGCCTTAATGGCTTTTGTCAGCTCTGAAAAGTTCTTTGTTTTGTCCTGCTTTTATTTGAGCTACATATTCAGCTCTAAGAGGACAGGCCTGTCACAACTGAGAGCATCTGCTCTTTTCCATGCTGCTTGAGTTTTCAAGTCTTCAGTTTGGCATGAAGAAACATATGCAAAAGCAAGGATTTCAGCCTTCATCTCCTGAACACCAGGGACAGAACTGAATCATCATGCCTTCCAGGCTCCTCAGTTCTCTTTCTGGCCACAGCACTCAACTGAAGCTTATACCAAAGTCTGGTCACTCTTGGGTGCCCAACAGGGGTCTGTGTGAGCAGGTTTCATACAGCCACCCACAGCCAAGTCCCAAATATGAAGAGTGGTACCTCACATCCTGGCCTAGCACTTGTTATGAGTCAAGTTAGTGATTCTGGCCCTGTGCTCTGCCTGCTGCTGAGATGTGTCTCACAGTCAGTGCTTCCATGCCCTCCCTGCCTCCTCTGCCTTGGCCCCAGCACTGACTGGAACCCCGTGCCAGGAAAATGACAGCACCGCTGAACTGTGCAACTGGGCTCTGGCACAAATACTGATGTTTTAATTAAGCAGAAGATATTCCAAGAGAAAAGTAGGAAGTGCCTAGCTCTTAATYCCTGTGCTGGAGTCAACTCAGCCTCCTGCAGACATGATGACCAACATCTCAGTTAAAAGCACCATTATGTTGGCTAGAGGTTTGTGGAGCTCCTTCCCCAGCTCTTCCAGCTGTTCCACTTTTTTAGAAAGCAGAGGAGAGTGAGGGCTCCACAGGGATTTCATGTGCCAGGTGCATTATGTACTCCCTGAGGTGCTGTACCCACAGGCAGGTGCCTCTGCTGTGACTGCTCTGCCAGGTGGAAGGACTGTGCTCCCCAAAACAAGTGACATGGAGGTGAACTACCAACACAATCTCTAATGGCATGGATTAAAGCTCCCCACAGCACTGCCACCTGGCCTGTTTCTTTAGCAAAGTTTGAGGCTACTTGTTTGGAGACTGGCTCTGCTGCATTTTTCCAAAGTCCTTGAATCCTACTCAGAATGTCAGGAGAATCATCTCAGCCTGTGTTTCTTGGCACAGACCTAAGGCCACTTAAAAGTGAAAATCATAACTGTGCCTCTTAGTACCACTGTCTGCAAGCATCAAGGCCCCAGTCTCATGATTGGGACAATACTTAGTGTTTTAATGCTTGCAGGTAATKCCAGTATGCATAAAAACCCAGGCAATTTTAGGCACCATTTCAAAACATGGATTTCTAAATGCATAGAATCTCCTGAACCCATCAGTTCAATGAAAGGGGGTTTTGTCTTGTTTTGTGGGTTTTTTTCCTACTTCTCCTCTGAAATTAAGCATCTGAGATCACCAGTAGTTCACAGTGTTGCAAAATTGTCTGCAAAAATTCTGACTCCATTTTTTGGTACCTTCAGTCTTTCAGATTCTTTCATTCTGCATCTATTATCTGACCATGTGTTTTTTCCTTTTCCGAGCAGGTCTCTTGCTTTATTTGAGTTCATCACTAAGAGGATTGTAGCTTTACTGCAAAACTTGTGCCAGAGTATGAATAAGCTTACATTTATCCAAGAAGACTGGTGTTACTTGGATTAAACTTGCTCTCCTGCAAACTATTTCCCCTCTATGTTCTCAGCCCTTTTAATGTTCACAGCTGGTAGCTGATATTTTTCTAAAACATCACAATCAAAATGATTTTCAAGAAACATTCTAGTTAAACTGATGCTGCAACAGGAATTTACACTCAATGCTCAAAAATAATCTGATTACATTAGTGACTGTATTTTATATAAAGAAATTCCAGACTCATGTTCACCAGTGCCTCCCAGCTTGMTAATCATGAGGTAATCTCTAGTGGGAGAAAAACCCAAACCCTGAGCAGAAGCTTGCACTAATCCTTTGATGGCCACATAGCTTTTCCACAATGAGGGGCTGCTGCTTCCTTCTGAAGAGCTGACCTGGAATACAGTAATAAGGACTCCTTTGAGCCTTACAGAACTGACACCTGCACTCTAAGAGAGATCAAACATGATAATAGCTGATTTTGATATTATGCAGATGTGGTGGTCTGCAGTAATTCGCATCCAGTGATTTCTGTGTAGTTACAGTGGAATTATACTGGCAAGAGACAAGATTTGAGTCTCTCTGGTATGAAAAACAATGAARGGGAAAAAACAAGTACTTATGTGTAGCTSRGTACTCTAAGTCCTTAAAGCATGCATGTGCTATTAACACCAGTTCTGGCTGMACAGCCTGGTCATTAATGTTATCTTCCCAGCTGAACATCTGTTCATGTGGCACATTTCCACTTCCATCTTCCTTTCTCTATTAGACATTAAATTGTACCAAGAGTCCTTTTAAATACAAGCACAATTTTAAGGGGATTTTAATGAGCTTGTCGGAAATGAGGCTACATCTTGATTTATAGCAAGCAAAGTAGTATGGCCAAAAAAAAGAGAAAATATTTTAGATTAATTGGTTATTTCCTTAGAAGTGCCCTTTTAGGTGAGCTACGGTCAGTTCCTGTGCATTTAATGAATGTTTTCAGTCAAAAAAATGCAAACAAACCCAAACCTAGCCAATCAAAATCAATCAGCACACTAATTAACAGTTAGAGCTAACAGTTTCTGAGACAYAGATACTGAGATTTTCTGCACAGGACTATGGACACACCTTGGAAAGGATAATTCTTTTATACAAGTCAGTTGTAATGGATGTGACACTAGGAATGAGTGACTAAGAATCATTAAAATGCAACATTTTTAACCATAGTTTATACTCACTGTTCACATGTTCATTTTCTAGATAAAAAAATCCTGACTCACATGGATTTGTGCCTAAWCCATATGGTTAATCAGTAACCAATTTAGTGTCAGGAGAGGAGGTAGCTCACTTCATGCTCTCTCTCCTCAGGAGCAGGGAACAGGTAAAAGGGAAGCAATGTGCCAARCAGAGATGTATTCTCCCTTAGAAGRATGATGTAAGTCCACAGGCCTATAGATAAGAAAACAGCATCACAGATTTTTCCAGGTAATTATTTTTCAAGACACAGATTGTTTCAATTTTGCCCTGTCTCACACAACCCTGTTTTCACATCTGAAGCCTCGGAAGTCATGAAACTTGGGACACTCCATACACAATTACACTAAATACAGATCTTCTCAAGTGCTTACAAACATAATATGGATCACAGGCAGCCAAATCCTAAAGCATGGTACTCAATAGTCCACAGGCAACATTAGATAATGACTGTGCTGTGCAGTGTTGAGCTACCTCAGGGCTAGCTCAAAGGCACTGAGAAAAATGTTTTGCATGCATGYATAGCCTCATGATTACCCATTACCTTGGAGGTTGGCAATGGGTTTGGCTGTGTCAGTGCAGTTCTGGACTAACAAGTTTGGGAAAGGGATTGTCCTTCATTCAGCAGTTAATCCAGGATCTCTGGAAGATGTCAAGTGACATGGTCCAAAGCTGTACTCAGTGCATGACATMGTCTTGACAAGGATGTTGTTCTTTTGAGGATTGTTACTATCACGGAATAGAAATACTAATAATATTTTTAATATTATTATTTAAACACTTCTAAAAATATCCTTCCTTCTTAGGGCAGGAAGATAAAGTATTAAAGTTTTACAAGTCTCTACAATTGACAATCCAAAGAGCTACTACAGTTTTAAATACAAGGCTTTAAGAGAATCCCTACAAATAGTTATTTTACATTTACTAAGAGAACAGAGGTAAAGCATTTACCAGAACAGTCACAATAGATCACCAGGAATCCAGCCTCAAAGTCTGCCCACATTCAGGAAAAGGTAACCTCTTTCTGTCATCGGGGATTATACCTTGCCCCTGTAAATCACTGCTTGTGAAGACTTAGTGGATGTATGTATCTGAACGTATGTGAGGGCAGGAGCAGCACCATGCCAAGCAGCCCAGTGGYAGCTAAACCAAACAATGGCATCTTTGTGGGCTGAAGGCCTGATCAAACTATGACTGAAGTCAACGGGAGCCTTTTTGGTGGTTTCCAGGGGCATTGGATGAGAGCCACAATACATTACAAGCAGTATCACTCTCAAAGCCAGAAGTAAGAGCACAAAGACATTATTTCCTCATTCAGAACAGCAGTCTGCCCACTGACTCCTCCTATCTTTTCACAGAACGGAGCAATAATCTTTCTTCAGTCCCCTGCACTCGTCCGGGGAAGCTGGGAGGTAAGATTTCYTCCCTTGGCACTTCTTAAATGTCAGGCTTTCATCTTGAAGAGAACCAATCTGGAGAATTAAAGCAGCTGCCAGGCTAGACATGGTGGSTATATGATGTAGAAACTGAGAGAAYAAAAGCCTGCATCGCKATAAAAGGGAAGAATAAATCTGCAAACCACAAGTCTGTACATTTCACTTTGTCTGATCACAGCCTTCTGGAAAATCCTCATGGACAGCAGCATCYCTGCCACATACATACAGGTTAGTACCTTTCAAAAACATGGATGAATTTGGGGAGGATTGCTTGAGGTTTTTTTGKGTTCAGAAAAATAGCCACTAAGACATTACTGAACAGGAATTTTCTGAGATGTATTTTTGCAAAACTAAAATATACTGGGTTGATCACAACTAGTGAAACCTTTTGATAAGAACATCATATAAGCAATTCAGCTGTTTGCCACTGCATTCTCACCACCTCTGACCTCTATGGAATAAATGGMAAAKGGGTAYGGAATAACARTCCAAACCCATCAAACATWTGAATAATAACAACAATAWTAACAAATAATAACAAGGATACTCACATTTTCATGGAGAGTGTTCTGGCTCTTTCTCAAATAGTGTTATTTAGCTGGACATTTTTGCCTTTAAAGACTCCTGAACAGATGTGCATCTCCTCCTAAAAACAGTATATGTGTATTGTGTGTGGAACTGCAAACTCCAGCCACTCATTATCAGATAAGCATGAATTTATAAAACACCTYCCTGCTTTTCAGCAGAATTATGTTGGGTTCAGGAAAAAAGGAAATCCTAGAATTATTTATGCACATCGATAGAGGTGAACTTGGCATGCAGTGTGAGTCCAGCTTTCAGCTCGGCAGTACAGAACAGGGAAATCTTTTGGGCTCTGTAGCTGTGGGGCTGCAGGAAGAGAGCATTTTCACTTGATGAGCTGTGCTAACTTTGTGCAAGGAAGACTCCGTACTTCTCAGGGCATCTATTTGTTTAATAAGGCCTTTCCTTGGTTTTAACAGCATGCAAAACTTCACTGACCAATTCTTTTCAAGTTCTGAAGGCAAGCTTTGACCAAATGGGACCAAGACTTACTGTTCCACAGGCAGAGGGAYACTACTAACAGAGACTGAATCAAAACAGGGTGAAAGTGTATATTGGGGAAATGTATTTGTGCACTGGAGAGGGTATATGTATCTGTCTGTATGAGACATATATGTTAAAAAATAGATACTGTAGAGATGGGARCTGGTGAACAGTGGGGAGGAAGGAGCCTTTTACTCTATTACATCCTTCTCTCTGAACTCATGGAAAGCAATTCCTGTGACATCTGAAGCAGGATCACTCTGATCTGTATTACACAATGACAGAACATGCTGAATTGGAATAGACCCTCAAGGATCAGAGTCCAACTCCTGGCACAGGACAACCCCTAGAATCACACCATGTGTCTGACAGCATTGTCCGAATGCTCCTTGAGCTCTGTCAGGCTGCTGCTGTGATTATTTCCTGGAAGCCTGTTCCAGGGCCCAGTCACCCTCTGGGTGAGCAGTTTTTCCTGATATCCAACCCAAACCTCCCCTGACACAACTTCAGGCCATTTCTTGGGGTCCTGTCACTGTCACCACAGAGATCAGTGTGTGCCCCTCCGTTTCCCCTCAYGAGGAAGCTGTAACTGCAATGAGGTCTCCCCTCAGTTTCCTCCAGGCTGAACAGACCAAGTGACCTCAGCCATTCCTCATACAACTTCCCCTCAAGAGAGGGAAGATTATTCCAGCGCTCTAGGTGATGACCTAGCTCAGGAATTGCTCTTTCATGCCTCTACTTCCCCCTGAAGGCCAGCCCTTTTAGGCKCCAAGAACCGGCCTGGAAAGCCTGTTTTCCACACACACAGAGCACTGATCGAAGGGACAGACCCGCCTCCTGCCGGGAATCCGAGGAGGCGGGAGCGCGGGAAGCGCCGCCGGGCTCCCTCCTTGCGCCCGCCCCTCAGCGCATGCGCGCGGCGCGCCCCCTGGCGGGCGGCGGGCGCTCCGCCGGACCCGCGGCAGCGGCAGCGCAGGTGAGCGGCACCGGCACCGGGCGGGCAGCGCGGGGTCACCCCGGCTCTCCCCTCACACCTCCCCTTCCCCCGCAGCGGGACGGCTGCACCCCACTCCGCGCCCTCTCCCCGCCGTCCCGCTCCTTCGAACCGCGCTGGCCGCCATGGCGGCTCCSCCGTCCTTATGTAACGCGCCCCCTGCCCTCAGGTTCGGCTCAGGTGTCCCGGGAGCGGGTTCGGCGCGGGCGGGTTCCTCCGCGGCTCTTCCCCCTCCTCCGGCACCGCCGTGGGCTTTCCCCTCCTCAGGCACCCCCGGCAGGGCGAGACGGCTCGGGAGCGCTCCCGGGAGAGCCGAGGGACGGGCCCGGGTCCCGCATCGCCCCCGGGGATCGCCGCGATCGGAGTCGGGGAGCCGGACGAGCGCGGGTGTGTGGTGAATTAAGGTGGAATCGGCGCAAATGGTTACCAGGGCTGTGCCCAGAGAGCGCGGAGGCGGCACCGTGCCTGGGCTCGRCATCGAGGGGTTCGTGCTGTGGGGATACCGTTCGAGAAGAAGGTAAATGTTAATTAAAAATTAACTGAGCAGGGATTCCGCGCGTTTCGAGATGCTCCGTCTGGAGACCACAGCCAAACGTAGTGCCTCTGTCAGCTCACTAGTGGCATTTTGTAAAGGATAACGAGTAGTCACTTAGCTTACCCCAAAGCAAATATTTGTGTTTAAAAAACAGCAAGAAATTGCCCGTTGCCACTGGCGAGAGCCTCAGGAGCTTTTAAGCCTCTCCTTCCTTCTCAAATAAATGAAAATTTAAAATGTCACAGGTCCCCCATCTCTTGAAACTGCCTGCTTGGCTTTCCTTCTTCCTTTGATAGGTTCCCCCGTCCCATCTCCACTCAAGGCAATTTTTTTAGTGGCTGCTGGGAAGCAGATCTGTGTTTCCTCCTTTGCCTAAGTAATTTCTCTATGTCCTACAGTTGTAAAAGTTGCAAAACTCAGAGATACCTRGCTTTCTGTTATTTCTGTGCTGTTTGTAAAGACTTCTGGAAGGATAATCAAGAAGCAAATCACACTAGGGAGAAGCACCACATCAAGTAAAATAGCTTTTTAAGTGTTTTCAGACTGGAACCACAACAAACATGTCACATATGTCATTGTGTGTAACAGCGGTTAAGCTGCMGAAGGTTCAGCTACCATCTTCAAGCAGTGAGGTCTGAGGTTTTTGACTCCTTTGGGGCTGATTCCCCTGTAATCTCTCTGCAAACTCCTGTGCTGTGAAGGGAGTGTGACTGCGTTGTTATGTAGCAAATTTGTGCCTGGGGTTTCCATGCAGTGTGCTCATGACCTCATTTATTTCATTGTTAGTGGGATGTCAGTAGCCTAGCATTCAGTTTTTTAGTTGGCCATTTATTTGTATGGACAAATTTAATCATGTGGTTACACGAAGACAGGATCATTGTGTAATGACTGCCAGTAATTTGATGCGAGGCAGCACAATACTGCATCAGCCAGTGGTTAGTTCTTCCCAGCAGGTTTCACCAAACAGATTTTGTAATAATTTCCTGCATCAACAGTTGTAGCATCTTGGGTTGTGAAGCCTTTTGTCTTGTGTTACCTCTGCCACCTCTTGATTTCAGATTTTGAAGGAGCCTTGCAGCTCTGGGACAAAAGGAAGATGATATTACTTTATGGTTTTAGCTCTTTGACCTGTGAGTGTAACGTGAGGCTACAGTGAATCTCAGCTCTAAATGAGAGAATGTGATAATGGTTGGCAGCTAAGGCAGCGGGTCCTGCGAGGAAGGGACTGGTGGATGTGGGGGAAACGTTTGGCTGCAGCTCTGGAATGCTCTGGTGGCTACCATGCCTTGATTTACATGTCCAGGATAAAGGAAAGTGGCAAATGACTAAGAAATCATTTTCCTCTCTGTTAATACTTCCCAGGAATGGCTGGACTAAATGCTGTGGAGACTATTAAACTGTTGTTATTTTTAWTATGATCTATCAGAGAAGACAATAGTGCCCCTCCTGGGTAAGGGACTGTTCTGTGTTCTTGTGAATGTAGTTGGCTAGTTGAATTTTTTTATCTATCCATCAGCACTTTGCTGTGGTCCCACTGCACTGATTTTAAATGGTTTTTCTTTTGTGTTCTATTTTTTCTGTCTTCCCAAGGTTACATAGCATAAATAAACTACAGTTACCCCTGTGTCTTCAGAGCAGAATCCTGCTTTTCTGTTTTCTGACACAAACACAAAAAAAAATCACTTTTTGCTGCAAAGAACCTTTGAAATGCTGAAAGGATTTAGAAATTCTATATTAGGGTTGTCTAAGAAATTTATATTTATTTCTACAAAAGAAACTGGTGGTTTTAAACAAGCTAAACCTGTTTGATGTGTGGTTTCTGACATTTTTTTCTTTTTGTTAAATTACTTCCAGCTGAAAAGTGCAGTAGGTTTGGGGTTGGAATACAGTGTGTCATTTGAACTGTCCCACGTTTTCTGGCCTTGTCTGATTGGACCTAATTAGCGTGGACATCTGAACAGTTTTGCATCAAATTGCCACATCATCTAGAATTGGTGAATGAAGAATGGGAGAGAACTGAGGATTTTCTACACTCAGGGGTCAGTGAGTTTTTTCTCCCCATGCTCCTAATCTCCATGATGCAGCTGTAACAAGAATTGCAGTCCCTGCCAAAGCTGCTGCTTGTCTGCAGTTTGCAGTGCAGCTGCCTCCTGCCCTTCCCACTTTCTCTCCCTCTCTGTCTTCCTTAGCTCTGCCAGCTGTCGTTTTTCCAAATGTTCAAGTTTTTTTAGCACAACACAAGRCAACAACTCGACTTGCTCTGTTAGTTGGATTAAACTGAAGAAGATTTGTTGCTGCCTCTGCTGTTCTGATCTTGTGGGCAGCAGTGACAGCATTTTAATACCCACAGACACTCACCAGGCTCTGTATTAGACAAATTAGTTTTACACAGCCACACAAACAAAGGCAAATTTCKTGGTCCCTTCAACTAAAAGGCCTTTTTTGTTTTCTGAGGGAGGCTTACAGCCCTTCTCTACACAGATCATGTGATATTAGTTGATCTTGGGGGTAGATAAATGAAATTACATACAAGAGAGTTGGTGAAACTTCATCTGTTTCTTGATTTCTCCTGCACTTCTGCCACCTTTTTTCCAGCTTCAGGACCACTGACCATAAACAGCACTGGATTTACAGCTATCATAATACTCCTCATCTGAACACTGCCTGGTTTGAGTTATAGTGAGAATTGTGGGTTTCCCTGTTTTGTATCACCAAAGTGTCTTCCTCCCATGTGCCAGAGAAAGAATAAGGATGATCCCTTCTTTCTGGGGCACTGTCTCCCAAGGTACGGGGGAAGGAGGCCATGTACTCCAACGTCTAGATTAGCTTGTCAGCCAGGATTCCTGGGATTTAATTTCATGATAGGGGAAAACAGAGCGATGTTATTAATGTCCTGCCACTGTCTAATGTCTTTGATTTCTTTTTGCTTCAAAATTGAGGTATTTTGTCTCTACTGAAYGTAAGTATTCTATGTGACTTGAGTAATTTTACACTTAATACAGTTTCAGATTTGGCTAGAATGTCTGAATTAAAATCACTTTGCTTCGGATGTTACTGTTACCTGAATTGCAGCAGCTGTTAAATAATGTGTTTGTGCTCTGACCTCCCATCCTTGCTTGCTTTTTAAAAGTGTGAGAAACAGCTCGGAGCCTACCCTCAGTCCCTTGCCTGAGGGCCAGCACTGATGACCAGAACACAAACTTCAGGGTCTGGAACAGCTGCGCTCTTGATGATAGCAGACATCATCAATATTTCTAAATATTTAGCTTGAACAAGAAAATTGCTGACTGGCTYTCAGCAAACAGTGGTGAGCTGTAAACATGTGTGGGTTTTGTTTGGTTTTTTTAATTCAGACAGCTACTCCTTTCTGGAAAGTGTCAAGCAGCTATTTACAAGGAATGACAGATGTTGTTATGAATGAGGCACTTCCTTTAGCTTCCTTAGAGTCAGTCACTTGCTGTGATGGTCACTTCTGCTCTTAATGTTGTTAAAATATTAGACTGTATGGAGGCTGGAAGACTTAATTGGTGAGATGAAAAAGGGAGCACATTATTGAGGTTMTGAATGATAGTGTTTTATTCTAGAGAGGAAAAGCTCTGTGTGTGTGTCTGTGTGTCTGTGTGGCATTCACCCAGTACTAAACCTCAAGTAGTTGTATATTGTTGTTGAATTACTGTTGATTTGAGGAACAAATCTGTAAATGGCTCTTCTCTCTTAATTTGTGGAGTTGAAATATACTGACCTTCAGGACTTTGAAGTGATCTTCATATTTCTAGAACTTGTATCTTGATGGAAGTGCTGCTAGAATTCATTTGTTTTTCATATAAAATCTGAGAACAGAAAAGGCCTATAGCTAAACATGAGCCCAAGCCAGTATTTTCTTCAAATGAAACATGGCTACAGCTGGTGCTTTCTATAGCAGATGATGATTTGTTTAAAGACTCTGTGAGATRCTGTAATTAAAGCCAGCAGAGGATTGGGGGATAGGCGTCTAAAAAAGATTTGCATGACTGAGGTATATGACAGAAACAAGATGCTCCTGAATTGGTGACTTGGGGCAAGAATAAAAATCTAAGGTACCTGTCACAAAGCCTCATTGAAAGAAAGCTGAAGTAGGTCAGTCTGTTGCTATCTGAATATTTCCTGAAGGTTATATTACACATGTTAATTTTTAACGTGTTGCAGAAACCTCTCTTTACCTGAGGARCAGTAACTGACTTTCCCTTATCTTCTCACACACATACTGGTATCACAATACCAGACACTCTCTCATACGTGTGATTCTCTTACCTATGGCTGTGTGTTTGAGTAGTGCCATTGGTTTCCTCTGTTGTCATTTCTAGTTTCTCCCCCTACAATATCAAGCATGTACTTWATGTGTATCAAATACGTAAATCCAAATATGCACTCAACTGCTTTTCTTGCAGGCGAGAGCTCAGASCATCTCCAAGATCTTTATTTGCTATGAGCATGAGATATGGATAAAAAGCATTGTGTAAAATCAGTTATGTTTGGCTTATGTTATCGCTTGGTTCATTCATAGCATAAAAAATTCACCCAACAACTCTGATTTTTCTTAAGAATCTTGGGTTTTATGTTGGTGTTTACAACAGCATATCCAGAATAGATAAAATGTCCACTATCAGCCTTTTTTACCATGAGATGGAATAGATGAGGAAAGTATGTGCAGCTGCAGTTTAAGCATGAGGATAAATGTAGCMTATGTGTCAGATGGAAAAACCTTATGACTTGGGAACTGTGAACTCTCATTTAGCAGTCGGTGGCAGTTCCGTCTGAAAGCAGCGTTTCTACACGCTCTGGCAGTGTTTAGGTGTGAGTAACCAGGGAGTGGTGAAGCRAGAGTGTCAGTCAAAGACCAAAATAAGCATAAGTTCCCTACAAGTGTAGGCTAGAGATCCTATATCTTATCTACATTATCATGTGAATGAATAACACATGATGCCTTTCAACACCCTTGTACAGCATTTAAACTTAAGTCTTTTTCCTCTTTTTCGTCCATGTTAATTTTTATAACCTCAGGAGATTGTGTCTGAAGCTCTGTTTCAGCTCCAGATCTCAGTGCTAATAGTGACTTATTTGAAGGGCATGTTAAACATGAGTGCTAGTCGTGGAGGATTAATTTGAGAACCAAAATAACCCAATGAACTAGAAAAACATCTTAGTAGTTTGGCAGGTCTGGCATAATGGAAGCCAGGTTTTCARCAGAAAAAGGTATTCATTGCTATAAACTGTATAAAGATCCCACGATCTATAATATCTTTGAGCTAGTTTGTAGTTTTGGAAGAAGTAAGATCTTCCTCTTGGATATCTTTCAAAGGAGGAATACTTATCTTGCTTAAAGCACCACAGGCAAATGTTCTAGGCATGTTTAATCTCACTTTAATCTACCTGGCCCAGTGCAGCCACCAGCCCTGTCACCACAGAGGATGTGGGGCAACAACCCTGTGACCTACAGCAGGAATGAGTATGGTTGTCTTGGGTCACTTCCTGCTTTTTCTCTGGTACTGATGCATGAAGAGTTGTACATATAGTAAGAGGCATGGATACTTTCAAAATCTCCCAAAGGAAAATCAGTTCTGCTCCCAGAAATGGGACTTCAGTTTTCATTGCAGAAGATTTTTTTGTTCTTTTGGCCAGTCCTCTTCCTCCARCACCAGAGTTCATGAGCAGAAATTACAGAACTATAGCAATCATCAACTCTTAGCACAGCTGAACAGCATCATAAATGAACTAAAAAGCCATGAAACCAAAGGTAGTCAGTGTAATAGGAACATGCTTCTCAATATACTCTGYAGTACCTTCCTGTACTTAAAGGGGGTGTAGAAAAAACAAGGACAGTGACTTTCTACACAGGCATGTAGTCATAGGACAAATGAGTTCCAATGAAAAGAGGAGGGATTTAGATTAGATGTTAGGAAGAAATTCTTTMCTGTGAGGGTGGTGAGGCACTGGCAGAAGTTGCCYAGAGAAGCTGCAGATGCYCCATCCCTGGAAGTGTTCAAGGCCAGGCTRGATGTRGCTCTGAGCAACTGKGTGTAGTGGAAGGTGTCCCTGCTTATGGCAGGARTTTGGAACTATATAATCTTTAAGGTCTGTCCCAACCCAAACCATTCATATTTGAATGATCTTTCAATGATCCTTTTCATATCTTTTTCAAGAAGTGTGGGCAACAAATTATGGCTTTTCCTAAAGGTACCTACATAGGATTCTTAACCGTGGGTCTGTTTTTTCCCCTTCTCACCTTCCCGAATAAGATCATAGTTAAGATTATAATGTAATCAAASTGTTATGTACTAGCATTGTTTGATGTCTCTTTTTTCTTTTTTTTTTGTGTGTTTTTTAAACAGGAAGATGAACAGAACTGAATTTTAGGACCTAACTCCTGATGGGCTGGATTTTATCTCGGCAGGAGTTCTTGAAGATTGATGCAGCGAGAGAAAAAACAGCCAATGGCTTCAGAATCCCTGGTCCCSGAGCAGTCAAAACAACATCTGATAAAGGGGAAAAGGCGGCAGCAGCAGCAGCAGCAGCAAAGTCGGCCTTCCAACAGTGATGGGGATGATGATGTCTTCTTGTTTGAGGCAAATGAGGCTTGGAAGGATTTTCACAGCTCTCTTCTTCACTTCTTTGAAGCTGGAGAGCTCTGTGATGTTACGCTAAAGGTGATACTTGTCACACATCCATTGCATGTAACTGTCTGAAGATTAAGCTGCAGATAAGTGTGCTGGGAGGTGGCTGTGCATATTGGCAAGGGATATGGARGCCACAGAATACCTCTTGGATCTGGGGCATCTCTAGAGATGATYGTATTTTTTTCTTATTAACGAGATTTACAGCTGAACTTTAAACACTTTTAGATATTGACAATCAAAGAGAGTACATKACTTTGACCTCATCCAACTTGCCTTCTAAGCAAGTTCCCTCASTTGGTCAGTAAATTGCTGTACAGTTCCAGCTCCTGGTAGCCTTTWTGTTCTTAATGCACTTTGATTCCAAATTTTACCTCCATTTCTGCGTTTTGTGTTATTTTGCTAGATTCTTCTCAGTCAACAGGATTTCTGGAACAAATCTAACTTCCAGCATTCTTCAAAGAAAGAAAGAAAAAAGCCCCAGACAGCTGTGTTCTACAGTTGAACAAAGAGTAAAGGAGGAGAGGGAGGAAGGAAATTTTATGGTTCTTGCATAGCATTGCTTTAATGCATTATTTATAACTCGGCTGTATATTGCTTGTATTTGTATCTAGCATCCATAAAAGTGAGTGCTAGCACCTGCAAATATTACGTATTGCTTAGCTAAAAAAAAATCACTAGTACAAGATTGTTATTTAAGGAATAGTGAGGAAGCTCAGTTCCTAAACTAAGAAAAATGACAGATGCCTTTAGGAGGAGTTGTTAGCCTGCCGCCTTGACTGTTAGATACGAACGAGGAAAATCATGGCAGATGYATGTCCCTGGTTTTACCAACCCTCCTCGTCCCTTGTTGACCCCATTCTCACCTTTCCACCTACCCTTGCAAAAAAAGGCAGAAAACCTTATTTTATTAACATGGTTAAGTGTATACTTATGCTAGGGAAACTTGTCTTGGAAAAAACACTTCACCGTGACTGCAGTTTAATTTTCCCTAAGTTAGGGCTTGTATAAATGTTCATTTGTATTATCTGTGTGAAGCTTCTTTGGTAATTTAAGAATAATAGATGGCATGACTTGACTTCTAGTGAAGGCCAGAGCAACCCATGGACATCTTACTGTATGACTTCCTAAATCAGGGATTTTCAAGTAACTGGTAACTATGTACYTGAATTAGAATTTTCAGGAGGGGCTTGGTTTTGCTTCCTGTAATGTTCAGGCCTCTCTCATGTTTTAATAATCATATCTACTGAAATTTCTGCTTTTGTGTGTGACCTGTGATAGTGAGCAATTCTGCCATAGATGTCATCAGACCAACTATTGTTTTAGTTCTTAAAATATGATAGTAATTGGAGGGGACCTCTGACAAAATACCAAGGACATGATAGATAACTGGTGGAAGGTGTCCCTGCCWRTGGCAAGGAAGTAGAGCAAGGGTGTCTTTARTGTCCTTTCCACCCCAAACCATTTGTGATTTAAAATGAAGCAGATTTGGGTAACATAGTAAAGACACTTAATTCAAAAGAGAGGTTTAACTAGGCAATTAAGTAGAGAGTGGGATGATGAGCCGAATAAAAGTCTCTGAAGGTGAGAATGGCCTGGGAGCTTTTTTCCCTGATAAAGCAGACCACTGGTAGCATCTTCTTGCATCAGTACTGTTGTTAGCTGGAGTGCTGATGCTGTAACAGTGGTAAGCCATGGGAGCATGTAGGGAGACTCCTGCTCCAAAGAGTTAAATTCTGGAATTTCACCTGCTCTCCTGCTGCTGTCATATGAGCAGTCTTAGAAGGCGGAGGGTGGCAGATCAATACCATCTGCTTTTCTCCTGTTGGTTTGCTTGTTGTTCATTTGGTAGGTCYGAATTGTTCCTTCTGGGGTGACCTGATGTGGTAACACTGAACTATCCATCTTTTCCTCTTTTTTAATCTGGATACTCTTGCTTRTGTGTTTGCTTTCTGCACTCAGCTTGCTGCTCTCCAGGTAGGTTACACTTGTGTTGATCATACTCTTTAAAGGGTGGAACAGTTGTGTGTTGAATCAGAGCTAGAAAAAATTTCAAAATATCCTTTATAATCTAGTATCTTTTTTGAGTGCAAGACAGCTCTCTGTAACCCCTTTATCTGAAAAWGACCATGTAATTTGAGTCCATCAGGGGAACTGGCTGTTTAAGTCAGCCATCCCTTTATGTTAGTGCAGACTGCAGGGTGGCAAAGGCTGTAATAAAGCACTCCTGGAACACATAAGCAGTGGATTGTTCATTTGCCTTCAATGCTTACATTCTTTTTTCATGTAATGGAGTTCTAGAATTTTGTACATGAGAAGCTTATTTTATATTTTCTGATTAGAATTTTAAAAAATACCTTCTCTATATGGGGAATGCRCTATCTTTTGTGGTTAATCATATTCTAAAAATGTTGAAGTAATTGGTAACTTTCAGTAGCCCCTGAAAAGCTGTTACTATGTTTTTTTTATGTAAATTTGCTCCTGTAAACATCAATTCTTCAACAGTAGTGAAGTCCAGAAGTCTAAAAATTAAGCAGGCTAAAAATGTCAGTTTCTAATTTTTCCCCCTTTAAAGTCTCTGAGTACATATAAAACAAGTTTCTAGCAGTTTCCTCCTGCCTCCAAGATGCATCTAGAGTCTTCCTAAGGATGCTTCATAAGGCTTTTAAAGAAAGGCAAGTTCAGTGCATCTGTGCTATTGCTTCCTTGTGTTAAGGCTTTGCTCTACTCTGATGGCCAAGTTACAGCTTWGATTTCCTTGGGATTCGTGGATGTAATGTCAGAAGTACAGGGCAAATTGAGTTAATTTGTGTGGAGAAGATATCATAGCTCAGTGCACATTGAGTCCAGAATTCTTATCTCAGCTTCACTGTTCCTCTTTTCACAGCTGAAACTGATATTCTGGTAAAACATTGTGGGGTTTCTTGTTCTTTTCTTTTTCAGGTTGGTTCAAAGCTGATCTCCTGCCACAAACTGGTGCTAGCTTGTGTTATTCCTTATTTTCGAGCCATGTTTCTTTCGGAAATGGCAGAAGCCAAGCAGAAGCTGATCGAGATCAGGGACTTTGACGGCGATGCCATCGAGGACCTGGTGAAGTTTGCGTACTCCTCACGGCTCACCCTSACAGTGGATAATGTTCAGCCTCTCCTGTACGCTGCCTGCATCCTGCAGGTGGAATTGGTGGCAAAGGCCTGCTGTGAATACATGAAGCTGCACTTCCACCCCTCCAACTGCCTGGCAGTCAGGGCATTTGCTGAGACCCACAACCGCATCGACCTGATGGACATGGCTGATCAGTTTGCTTGTGAACATTTTTCAGAAGTGATGGAGTGCGAGGACTTTGTGAGTGTGTCACCACAGCACCTCCATAAACTCCTGTCCTCCAGTGACCTCAATATTGAAAATGAAAAGCAGGTTTACAATGCTGCTATCAAGTGGCTGCTGGCCAATCCACAGCATCACGCTGTGTGGCTGGATGAGATCCTTGCACAGGTAGGGCAGACTGAGGCACCAAATGCCCATCTCATCACTGGTTTAGTTGTGTAATCAGCTCTTTGTACTTGGGTAGATMTCAAGGTGAAAAATGTTCTTAGCTTTTGGTGCCTCATCCAGTATTCACGATTGGGAGTTGACAGTGGAAACAAATTAGATTTCTTAAATATCAGGAAGAAGTCATATTCTCCTCTTTCTGTACAGAGAAGAGTACTTAYTTTATGCTCATGGCTGGGAGGTGGGGAACCAACAAAATGCTACATCTGTGCTAGAGCAGAAACTATTTTCATTAAATGGAGAACATAAAGCCATCACTTCACTTGACTTGGCACTCCTACAGCCTGAAACGCTCACTGCTCCTTCTGTTATGTATTTGTACTTAAGAAAGGAGGCAAAGCTGTTGAGTTTTCCTACGTGGCTAGGAAAGGAAACTAACAGAGATATGTCACATCAAGTTGTGCTACTTCTAGAATATTTCATGTATTTCATTAACAAAAGACCAAGATCATAGCCTAGTAGGCTGTGAAGCGTAATAGACTTTTTAATGCTCACTGGACTACCACTGTAGGAGCCAAAAGGAGTTTGCAGTTTAATTGTCTAGARTTGATGCCAGCTCACCGCTTCTGAAAAGAAACACAGCTATCARAAGGTCATTCTGCTGGACTTATTTGAACACCCACCAGACTTCTTCCTGTCAAAGTGTTAGATACTTCACTTATTCAGGCTCCATGTGTGCTGGGTATGGGGGTTTAAAATATGGTATTTGAAACAGGTGTGGAGGGCCTGTGCTGGGAAGGATTACATGCCATGTGCTGCAAAATGCTCTGTGTGTCTTAGCAGGTGGGATTGGCTGTGCAGTTTTAGTTGTCACTGAACTCCAACTTAATTATTTCTCATTTGGCTGAATTGATAATATTTGCATTATGTGAGGAAGGAGAKATTCACCTAAGATGCTGCTGTGATTGTCTTCATGACCCATTTTTCACATTGCCTGGTAAAAGGTCAGAATGGTTTATTAGCTGTCTTCCAGAAAGCTTCAATTTYATCTAGACTAGCATGAAGTTTTTAGTACAAAAACCCCTTCTTTAGTACACTGTACTTAAACTTACATGCAATATAATTAGAGWTTTTTTTAAAAATTAGTATTTATATTTATTGCCTAGCTGTGCTAGCAGATGAGATTAACAGTTTTATTCCATTGGTGTAAACCAGAGTCTAGATTCAAGCAATGAAAAACTAAAGCACTTCCTGTAAATAAGGGTTATTTGCTAGAGTATATGGAGCYATAGCTGACTTGGACATTACTGCTRGCARAAAACTTGCCTGGCTTCTAGACAGTGAYTATCCATGTCATAATCAGCCTTACGGGTTTCACTGTTATAATGAGGTTCTGAGTCTGTCAGCCTGGAGTTCTTACCACATCACTAACCTCAGGAGCTTGTCAGCAGGGCTGCAGTGGTGCTTTAAAGCAGCCTAAAATAAGCTGGGCCAAAATAAAGAGCTGGGACTGAAAGCAAAGARGTAAGGAAGAACGGGTAGATACGCATGCTTGATTCAAGACAGGGTGCTTGTCAGTGCTGTAACAGCCCCATTCTGCTGCTCTGAGAAGCGGTGGAGCTTCTAGACTTCATCATAGTGGTTRAGCCAACTGAGAGCTGCTTGATAGCATTGATTCCAAACCTGAGGAAGTCAGGTGGAGATTTGCTTCATTTCYCCCCACTAACATCTGGCCTACCTTTGCCTCTGTTTATCTTCTCTGTATTCTCCACTGTTTGTCTTACAAGGAAGAATGAAAGATTTGCTGAAATAAATGTCAAGAAAGATTTAGAGAAGGAAATGATAAGCTGTCAACATTTATTACTTTTTTTTCATCTTGAAGTCTGTCAAGTCTGCCTTAAAGAAAGGTGTTACTGCACTAGCAATACCTCCTTCATAGACACTTATTTCATGGTGACAGTGTTTCCTTTTTGACTTGCTCCTCCAAAGAAAATGAGCCATTACAGCACAAGCCCTCTTACACTGGTATAGCAGTGAGCTGAAAATTCATACCCTCAGCAGACTAATCTGATGAAGCCTTGGTAAAGCCATGGGTGCTGCCTGCATCAGGCTGGGCAGATGCAGCACAGGCATCAGCTTGTCTCCTTCCCTCAGCACAGCCTAGGCCACGGGACACTTCTCTACTGTGGCTGAAATGCAAGTGGTTATGGCAGACATTATCACTAAAAAGAACTGTTGATGTCGCTGTTGTCTGGAACAACACTGAGAGCCGCTCCCTTTATTGAAGAGTGTGGGGGCTGCCAGCTGGCTCTGGAGGTGCCATCTGGTGCATGTGCATCGCTGCATGGTGAGACTCAGCCAGTTCAGCCAGTTTCTCCAACTGTGTTCATTTCTGTGTCAGGTACGGCTGCCTCTCTTGCCCATTTGTTTCCTTATGGGTGTTGTGGCAAAGGAAGAGATTGTCAAGCAGAATCTAAAATGTAGGGATTTGCTGGATGAAGCAAGGAACTACCACCTTCACCTGAGCAGCAGGGCAGTGCCTGACTTTGAGTACTCCATTCGCACAACACCAAGGAAGCAGACTGCTGGTAATTAAATGTGTGTCTGGTTATCCAGTAGGGAGTGGTGTGGACAAAAGRCAGCACATCTGTGCAGGTGTCTTGATATCAAGCAGGTATAGCTTGATATTGAGTAATGACTTAATGCAAAATTGGGAAAGTCATTTTGTTTTTCTCTGGTATTTAGGTCATGTGCTGCATTTTCCTGGCAGAAGTTTAGCAGTAATTTTCTTTTTTTAAAGCATTATTAATTTATCCAGATTGGTTCTATCTGTATTAAAGCCAGAGCTGTTAAGTRTGTTTTGACCAGGCAATCTGTTCAAAGCTGTTCAAGCTGAAAACAGTGGATGGTTATCTTTTGGTGTACATAAGGAGGTTGAGCTAACTTATAAAGTCTTTGACTAACCTACACCAAAAGTGAGAGATGAATATTGGACTGAAACCCCTCATTTTTACGTTGTTRTATTTAACAAACAGTGTATTTATCTCCTTAAGCCAAATCACAAAAAACGTATTTAAAATATGCATTGTTTTCACAAGAGCATAGATAGCTAATTGCCATAGCAGCATGTCAAGCAAAGGCCAAAATCCATTGTCCAGTTATGAAGTGCAATGACCATGCTTCTTGAAGTGAAATAGAACTTCTACTGAACTACATACTTTTCAGTTTGCTCTGCTGTGCAGCTGTTTTTCCCCATCCTCCTGCTAGTTCTCTGGAAACCTGTTTTGTGTTCTCCAGGTGTACTGTTCTGTGTCGGTGGCAGAGGTGGATCAGGTGACCCCTTTCGCAGCATCGAGTGTTACTCTATCAGTAAGAACAACTGGTTCTTCGGCCCTGAAATGAACAGCAGGAGGAGGCACGTGGGTGTGATCTCCGTGGGAGGTCAGTAACCCTATTCAAGCAACCCCAGTCAAAAGGCGCTTGTTTGCTCCTTTTGCTGAATTGGTACTTTTACTAGCTGTACAATTAGTAAACGACTTTAATTGCATAATTGTTGGATAGTCTTCAGTTAAGTACAGCTTCTCCCCCTTGAAGGAGTGTTTGGTCCTGAACCAATCTGAGACTCTGCTTATGGAAGAGGCATTCCTGGGCTTGACAGAGTTGGGGCTGTTCAGCTTTGGAAAGGCAGGGCTCCTTTTTGTGGCCTTTCTGTACTCAAAGGGAGCTTACCAGAAAGAGGACAGGCTTTTTAGTAGGGCCTGTTGTAATAGGACAAGAGGTAATGGTTTTAAAGTAAAAGAGGGTGGATTTAAACTAGATAACAAGCAGAAGTTTTTACAGTGAGGTTGGTGAAACCTTGGAAAACAGGTTGCYCAKAGAGGTAGTAAATGTCCTGTCTCTGGAAGTGTTCAGGGKCTGACTGSATGGTGTCTGACTGGATGGTGCCYTGAGCAACCTGAAAATGAAAAYGTCCCTGCTTATTGCAGAGGAGCTGGGCTAGATGACCTTTAAARGTTCTTCAAAGCCCAACTGMACTGTACAAAGCCTCTTGCTTTAAATGGGTGGTTTACTTTTTTAAAATGCATTAATAAAGAAATGGCCTTACACAGCAGTCACCCAGAATTTTCTGGTACTCATACTGCCTCCCTTCCTACTTAAATCCTTACTGGAAAGTTACTAAGACCATAACTCTTYCAAGAGCAGACCTAGCTTTATATTTGGGTCTCCATCTTCTGAAACAGGTCTATGCAATCCTGAGCAGCTTAGCACCAATAACACAGCTTTCCCTTGTACATGGTAGCCCCTCTGTTGCTGCAGCAGAACAAAGATAATTTTTCTCCATRGAAAATCTGGAGAGACTGGTACATATGTTCAAACTGATTTTACCTGCACTACTCAAATTATAGGAGTATTTTTTTGTCTACATAATCTCAAGCTTTGCGTAAAAGTCTGCATTAGAACAGATTCCTGGTTGAGTACAGCATATAAAAATATGCAGTTGATACTTAYTAAAATTCTGATCTTGAAAACATTTAAAAACTTTTACCTCTATTTGACCTCTTTGTCTCTGTAGGCAGGGATATTATATAAATGAAAACTGAAATGTTGCCAAGCAATCTCTGTATCAAAAGATGTGTGTGTGTTCAGGTAAAGTCTACGCAGTAGGTGGACATGATGGAAATGAACACTTAGGAAGCATGGAAGTATTTGATCCTCTCACAAACAAGTGGATGATGAAGGCATCAATGAACACAAAGAGGTATATGTGTCCCATGCTCCAAATCCTAGTCTGCTCTTGCTGATGCTGAAAAACATCGTGTTTGTCCTGCCTTTTTTGGATTTTCATACTCTTCTATTTCTGGAATTTTTTCCCTCATGTTTTGGAGCTTGATGCTATGAATGTGTTATCCTTATTTTCCTTTTTTTTGGAGGAGGTGGTTTCTGGAGCAGAAACCTCTTCTACTCCAGCTTGCATTCTGGTATCTAGGGCCTTTCTGCTATGCTCAGTTAACAGCTTGGAACTGATGAACTGGTTCTGTGGGTTTTTTGCTCTTTTTAAGAATGAACAAGATAAATGCAAACATAACGTGAGAAGTGAAATACTTCGTGCCCAGGAAACAAATAGCTGCCTGTGTTTTTCACACAAAAGGCCAAAAGTCAGATTGAGGACTTTTCTTGCCTTTTGACTTTTAAGATTMTTTTAAGGAGTTACTGGACTCACAGATCTGTAATTTTCTTGTTTCCAYTTTTATTTAAATCAGTGTCCCTAACTGTGCATACCATTTTGTTATTTGTTGTTTTTGAAAACATGGTGCACAAGTAGGCTAAGCCCTAAAGCTACCTACTTGTAGCTGTGACCTAATTAAAGGAGCAGACCCAGACTCCTRGAAGTGGCTTGCTCCACTTCCTCCTTCCAGTCACCCTCCAGGGCATAATCTCAGCGACAATGAGCTGTAGATTTCTGTGACATTATGCAGTATTTGGGTAAATGAAAAGGCTGCTATGCCTTGGCTACCCCCCAGCTCCACTCCTCCCATTCATGGAGGTGTTGGAAGACTTAGTGGAGAAAAAAGCTGCCACCATTAAGTGGTGTCTGTGTTMTCTGCTGAGGCAATTTAAGATAAGYCCAGGATATTATCACAATGTTTATTCTGTAGAAATTGTGCCTCCCTTGYTCCTGCCTCAATATCTGTGTACCTGCCGTTTTTCATGAGACAAGAATGTTGTCAGTGACATGGTAAACCATCTCTCTTAGTCATAAAAGCAGAAACCTGATGCTCACATTCTAGACCGTACTTCTAATTTTATAGTTACTGATGTACTGTCATATTGGTAGATTCAGTAGAAACAAATCTGACAACTGTTTTAATACTTAATAAAAAAAATACCAGAATGGAAGAAATTGCAATTAAATATTGCCAGACTTCAGCTATTCAATATCTAGCACAGGCTTGCCTTTTAATATGTATCAATATCACCCCARTTTATTCCCAAATGGTAGCAGCCAGCTATACCAACAAACTTAAAAACCAGCAGGTTTTGGTTCATCATCAGATTCAATAAAAGAAAATAGGAAGCGTGAAAGTTCAGTACTGAGAAAGTAATGTCTAAGACATTGTCATATATCCGARTATGTAGGCAGAAAACTTGGCCTTAGAGGTGACATTTGGTCAAAATGTCWCAGGTGTGCCGAGAGCCAGTCACGTTATTTACTCTAAACTCCACTTTTAAAATTTTCATTACTCTTTTCCCCTCGTTTGAGAACAGGTGCCATTCATGTACCATTGCACTTGATGTGTGGCTCCCTTTGGTTAAGGATTTGCACTGAGGTGTTRATGCTGTGGTTCCTTAGGAGAGGCATCGCCCTGGCATCCCTGGGTGGTCCCATTTATGCCATCGGAGGGTTGGATGACAACACCTGCTTTAGTGACGTGGAGCGCTACGACATCGACTCGGATCRCTGGAGCACCGTGGCCTCCATGAACACTCCCCGGGGAGGTGTCGGCTCCGTGGCCCTGGTGGTGAGTCACTGCTTCCTCCCGAGCTGGGGACCCCACCTGCTTTTCAAGGATCTTAAATAAAATGCAGTTGGTGGGTCTGAGCACTGCCCGTCATCAAAATCCTGTGCAAAAAGCAAGGATATTTAGGATAATACTCAAATTGTTCTATTTCAACAGTATTTGAGGTACTGGGAGTAGTACCTTTCTAATAATATGGATAGTGCTCTGTGTATCACTCAGATTTGTCATGGTCCCAGTGTTTAAAGGTACCAAATGCATACTGTACTTTATGTTACTATGCTCTAAAAAATAGCTAGAACACTATATAACCTTTTCACTTCTTTCATTGGAAGAGATAGCATTTATGTTAGATAATTAAGTCTGTTGGAATTCTTGAATAAAAGTAGATATGTTTTCCTGTCATTTTAATGCTGCTTATGAAAAGCTGACTAAAGGCAGCTACACTACAAATAATCTCTATAAAACTGTTTTCCAGAACCATGTTTATGCTGTGGGTGGCAATGATGGTGTAGCATCTCTTTCCAGTGTGGAGAAATATGATCCCCACTTGGATAAGTGGATAGAAGTGAAAGAGATGGGTCAACGMAGGGCTGGGAATGGTGTCAGTGAGCTCCACGGCTGCCTGTATGTTGTGGGTGAGTAGGATGTGGCATTTTGTACTGCTGCTGCTGCTGCTGCCAAGTGCTGGCCTTTGGAAGAGGCTGTTGTTGCTAGAGGAACTGGGAACAGATAGAGCTGACCTGTACTTGGTGTTCTTGGGCAGGAGAAGAAAGCAAGCACAGTCAGGGCACGCTTGGACAAAGGTATGTTAGCAAGGAAATGAAAAGCAGCTCCTAACCCACATTTCAGGAGAGCTGATCTGTTCAGGACAATATGTCTGTATTAGAAAATCCTCTCAGGACTCAATAYTCTTGAGTTTTCTTTTAAGAAATGATTCTTAAGTTCACATGTTTTCAAAGCCCTCTAGTTGTGTTCTGAGTGTAGACAACAGTAGCTTTTTTTACACTTATTCCACAGCTTGTCTTGTGTGCTACCTTGTATTTACCTGTTTTCCTGAGAGAGGAAGATGCCAGGTAAGTGTGCCATAGTGTTAGTTAAGAAGCTCTGACTTGTGTATTATCGTAAGTGCTTAAATAGGTATCGAACAAAATGCTCCTCTGACAGCTTCCCCAGTTTCTCCTCTGATGCTTCCCTCAGTATCACTGAGTCTTACATGAGGATTTTTTTCCTTCTCAAATATTTGTCAGTGCTGTAATTTGARAACACTGCAAGAGTATGTTTTGCATAAAGTAAAATAAGTATAAGATTGGGACCATCCTTTTGCTGGTGTTAGGTTTCTTTCTCTTTCAAATGGGAAGCTGTTTCATTATAAGTATGATGAATTCAGGGAGAAAAATAATAAAATTAGAATCCTTGCTACTTGAGTAGAAGAAAACTGTTGCTTTTGGCTAAGTTTGTASAGTGAGAGGAGGGAGAGAGCTGTTAGATTAGGAGCTTGTAAAGCTCTGGTAAAGAGAGAGCTGGACAGGACCCCTGAATGCTGAGAATGCCCTGATAATGCCTTGGATATCACTTGCACCAGAAGTGCCAAAAACTGATGCTGTGGTGGTTGTTTGCAGGTGGCTTTGATGACAACTCACCCTTGAGCTCGGTGGAACGGTTCGACCCACGCTGTAACAAATGGGAATATGTGGCAGAGTTGACAACTCCGAGGGGTGGTGTTGGCATAGCRACACTGATGGGAAAAATTTTTGCAGTTGGAGGTCATAATGGCAATGTGTACCTGAATACAGTGGAAGCATTTGACCCCATWGCGAATAGGTAATTTAAAATTTTTTGTTTGGCTTAATAAGACAAGGAAATCTGCCTGTATGAAAACACAGCARCATAGAAGCAGTGTGCAGCAGGAGTCTAGCTGTTTTTTTTGGTAATAATGGAGTAATATCCATGACTATCAGTGCAGGACTCCTGCTTGTTTCACTAGGGTGGTCTTGTAAATATTTAAGCAGCTCMTCTTCTCTGCTCCTCTCCATCCTTTGTCCTCACCCCTTCATTCAGTAACAATTTATATTCTTCTGCTTGTTTCAATCTGATTTTGCACAAAATGGGGTGCATTTGTGTGCAGATTTAACAGCGCAATAGAACAGTGTAATAGGATTTCAGGCACAGAAAACACTTTGAGGTTGCTCAGAAAGGGCAGGAATTTACTTTTCTTATTTCCCATAGGTGGGAACTTGTGGGCTCGGTGTCACACTGCAGGGCAGGCGCGGGCGTGGCCGTGTGCTCCTGTCTCAGCAGCCAGATCCGGGACGTGGGCCAAGGATCCAGCAACGTTGTGGACTGCATGTGAGCTCTGCCACCTCCTCCAAATTCCAAAGGAATGATACTASGGAGGCACTGCGGAACTTTTAAACACTGTGTTTTGTATGGTGGGTTAAGGAATAAGTCAAATACATTTTCTTTGTGAAAATGGTATCTTCTGCAACTGTAAAGCTTTTGGTGGCTTTCTATCAATGGTGATACAGAAAAGCCTGTGAAAACATGGAATAAAAGTGCGACTCACAGGAACAAACCTGCCAAGAGCTGCAGTCATCCCATTTTTGAGAAGCTGTAATTCAGAATCATTTGAGGCAGCTGTTGCAGGGACTCATTATTGAACTGTAAATCAGGCATGTGGTGAGAGCAGCAGCAGCTACTGCTGCTGAGCTTCYCCCAACAGTCCTGCTAMTTGTTCTCTGGAGGGCTTGAGTGCCATTTCATATAACTTGGTCTGGAATGGAGTCTTAAACATTTCCCGGTTGTACAAGAGCTTTGTAACAGAAGGTGTCTCAAGTTTCAGAAGGTATTGACATCCCTGATGCACACAGAGATAACTGAGGCAGAGAAGTTTACTGCTCACCTCCCAAGGGAATGCTGGCAGCAGTGGAAATTGCAGGGATTCAGTCTGAAAGCTGTCTTTCAAAGTAGTTTCTTGAGCTAATAAAATGGTTAGCAAGCTGGAAAGATTCTTGACCTGAGTTTAGCACGGCTAAATACTGGGCTACTGGAATTCTCTAGTCTTCGATAAAATTTGTAGTTACTGCCCTCCTTTCCAAAGGAGAGTTTCTATTGAGAAGTCCTTCCTGAAGCAACCAGTGTCCTACTTTGAGATGATAGTGTGTGAAAATACAGGCTTCAGTGGTGTTTGAATAATTATTTTTATATTAAATGGAAATGCGTAATAAAATTTGCGGTATTGTATAAAYTCTCCAAGTGGAACTCTAGAAGACATGACTGATTTCAGTATCCAGTAGCGACTCWGGTAACCTTCTGAAGRTATTGGCTCTTTTAAGATAGCAGATAGATAACCTCAAAACCTTAAATGAACCAAAGAGAGTCAACAAGAAAAATAATTGGGAATAAACCAGTACTTCCATCAGACGTTGAAATAGCRACTTCTCAGTACTGAGCACAAGTCTTGTTATACCATTACGAATCCTGAGTAAAGTCCAGCTGGAAAGACTGCAGATTCCTGTTCCTCCATCACCTTGACAGGACAATTGACAATCCTTTGTGACCAAAGTATCACAATTACTAGGTTGTTCCAAATGCACAGGGAGAGCAGCAAACTTCTCTGCATTGAGGACCRGGGAAGAGGCAGGACAGCAGGACTGTGAGGCACAGCCATGTTTTCCTGCTGAGTTACYATCATTTAGGTTTGCTGCCCGAAATGGCTTTGCACTTTGGTAGCACCCAGGGACAAAGTGAATGGTACTGTAAATAATGAAACATTGCAATAAAACATTTGTACTTCAAAGCACCTYGTTTATTGTATGGCTGGAGCATGCTGGTGCCTGGAAACATTACAATATTGAGTGATTTTTGGTTTCTGCAGTGTGTATTTCTCCAGAGGAAGCTTCTGTTACTAGAGAGAATCCTGAGTACAGCCATGGGCTGTACCACCCTCCTGTCCTCCTCGCAAGGATGTGCTTATCCTTGTGGCTCTGGATCTGACTCTGAGGGATGGAAAGGGAAGGGATAAAGGTTCCTTCTCTGGGTCCAAATGCATTCTTTTGTGGATGTCCTAGCTAACAAAACCTCCAAGTTTTCTACCAGCTGACCCTGACTGAAACCAAGTAGCCTGGCAGTGCTGGTTGCCAGCTGATCCATTTCTCCTCCTGGTGGGAAAGTGTGACTGACACCCATGGGCACAGCCTGTGTGTGCGTGACTCACATGCCTGGATCACACTGACCACAGCACCTGTCAGGCACCAAACAGGAAAGTGTTCAGCAGGGAAATCAGGTTACAGCAAAGACTGGGATTTTCTGCTGTGTGGGAAGAGCTGTGCTGTCACCCTGTAGCTGGAAGTCACATGGTGATAGCTCTGAACAGGATCCTAAAACAGGCATCTCATTTGTATTTCAATGCACATCCCCACCCCAACACRAATGTTCAGGCCTGTGGAGGTGTATCCCTCAGGACTAGCTTGAAAACTGCAAGAGTTTCCAAGGAACAGCCCTGTTCCCAGAACAGTGATGTCCCACATTGTTAATCTTGCATGGCACCACAGCTAAATATATTTTGTACAGAACCGGTTTTAGAAACACTATTGCTGGAAATGTGCTAATGACGACAGAGTAWAAAAAGAAATAAAGAAAAATATAGGATAACTGTGGTGACAAACTGCAGTGACCTGCCTGCACATAAAGCTGTTGTGACTTAACACCAGTCCTGGCAAGGGGACAGTGATGATAAAGAAATACCCCCCTACTCCACGCTGAGGGACAGAGCAGTCCCCCATTGGAAGCAGGCCCTACCCCCCTCACGTTATTCATTTACATTCAAAGGAGATTGTGGTCCATTTGGTTATGCTTTCCTAGCTTCAAATATTTTTAATACTCAACATGCTGCTAAAATACTCAGAAAATTTTATAAGTCGTGATACTTACATATTTTAAAATATAAGCAAAATGCATGTGTGCATTCCTAGTCCCATTGGAGAGACTGCAGACTTCCTTCCTATTTGAACACTGGCTGGGAAAATGATTGCACTGGAATGTTTTCAGGGCTCTCTCCAAACCAGGAGAGTATATGAGATCATTTTGCTGCCATGAACTTTTGTGTGCACTTAACTAAAATCAGGGTGCCTTCCTGTGTGCTGGCTGCAGGACCACAGTTCTGTATCCTTACCTCCACCTGCAACAACATTTTAATTGYGGAGTGTTTCCATCTCTTCTAGGAATTGGAAACAGGCTGCATGAGACACACATCAACAGGTAAAAAAATCTACAAACAGCAATCACTGAGAAATGGGGTCAGGCCCACCAACTCGGAGAAGCTCCTAACAAGCAAAGGTTTATCAAATATCAAATCAAGTTCTCRGAATCTAATACTGACTGCAAGGTTTCCTAACTCAAGACCAATGTAATTACCCTAAACCAGGATGGGAACCAGAAGCAGCTACCTGCACTTTGTTTGCTGTGTGTGTGCCGTGCCTGCTGGGACAGCCGCAGGGTGCTCAGCATGATCCCCTGTGATGGGACCATGACTCCCACATCAAATGGGACACCGAGATTCATTGTGCAAACAAGTTGTCAACAGGTGATAAGAATTCAGCCAATTACCCCATTCAGGCTTAATTAGAGCAAATGCCYGGGAAATTCATAACTCCAAATTGCTCCCACCCTTAGGTGGCGGTTTCTGTCCTCATTTAGGCTGAAACTGTTCTTGGAACTATTTTCAACATCACTGCAGTGCACAGTTTTGCAAACCCAAGTACTCTGTTCTAGATACTTTGCTTCCATTTTTTTTTTTTTGCTGGCTGCTTTTACCACATCTGTATTTGTTTTCTAAAGCTTTGTAYGTTTTCTGTGCTGGAACTGGCAGTACAGCCATCCAGGAGATGAAACTTGTATTTGTAAT